TCACTTTGGGAAGGATGTTGAGATGCTTGAGCACATCCAGAGGAGGGCAACAAGGCTGGTGAGGGGCTTGGAACATGAGCCCTGTGAGGAACAGCTGAGGGAGCTGGGGTTCTTTAACCTGGAGAAAAGGAGACTCAGAGGTGACCTTATCACTCTTTGCAACTCCCTGAAGGGTGGCTGTAGTCAGGTGGGGGTTGGTCTCTTTCTCCAGGCAGCCACTGACAGAACCAGAGGACACTGTCTCAAGATGCATCAAGGGGAATATAGGTTGGATATTAGGAAAAAGTTTTACAGAAGGGGTGATAAAGTACTGGAATGGTCTGCCCAGGGAGGTGGTGGGGTCACCATCCATGGATGAGTTTAAAAAGACTGGATGTGGCACTCGGTGCCATGGTTTAGTTGAGATGTTAGGGCTGGGTTGGACTCAATGACCTTAAAGGTCTTTTCCAGTCTAGAGATTCTGTGATTCTGTCCAGCAAGAAGAAAGGTGAAGCTGCTGAGAGGACTACGAGCTGATGTTTGTGATAGGCTCAGCAGTGCTGCCTTAAGCTGTCACACATGCTTCTAGATAACCTTTCCATCCAACTTTTTACCAAAACCACTATTTCTAACACTATGCTGTAGCACTGCAGGGCTTGAGGATCTCTCAGACCTTGCAGACCAGAAGCTCTGCACAGATACCTTGGGAACTGCTGCTAGGGATATTTCTCTGATTTACACCTTGAGTCACTGGTCAAAGCTGGATTTAGCTTGTCTCAGCCAAAAAAAAAGCCCCAGACAAAGTTTGGGAGTTGGATTCAGCCTTTTCACACATGATGCTTATGTGATTGAATTTTGAAGCTTGCACTGTTGTGTATCAGGTTTTCTGGATGCTTGTGTTTGTACATGCTGTCCTCTGTCAGACTGTAATTCTGATGGGTCTGTTTTCTAATTCAGTTTTCTAATTCCTAATTGGTATGAATTGTAACATGAATCACCTTGACTGAGATAAAATTTTGGAAAACAAAAAGAAATTTAACTATGTCCATCTGTACCAAGTTGGTGGGGCTGGTGATTCAGGGAGATTTGGGGCTTTTCTTACCCTGGTCTTCACTGAAATCAGGGTTGAGATTGTTGTTTTATTTAAAGCTTGCAGCCTGCAGCTTTGATGTATGTTTTAAAAGGAGAAGCTGGCAGTAACCTTACTCTTGTGTTTGCAGTGATGGCAGACAATCCCACTGGATTGAGGATTGTCCTCCCTTAGGTCCTGACAGCAAAGAGACTAGCTGTGCCTTAGGGCTGGCCTGGAAAAGGCCATGTCCAGGTGAACCCCAGTGTTGTGTCAGCCCCAGGGGTGGGGACCATATACACCTCGAGGGTTGTGGCCCTATTTCTACTAACATTCACCCCAGAAAAGGTTTGTCAACACTGAATCTGGGGGTTTGCTAGTCCATGCTGTTCTCACAGGACACATACTTCAAGGCTGTTTGTCAGAGATGAGCACGAGGAGCCTGTTCTCAGTTTCCCTTGGTCTCTCCAGAAGGTCCTTCTGACTGTCCCCACCATCCCCATGGTTTCCCTTGCTAGATGGCACTGACAGCAAGGACATGGAGTAGATATTTGTGGCTATGGAATAGCCTGTGGCAGGAATAGAGACTCGTTTAGGAGCCCACCTTGCCCCACATCACCCCTTTTGCCCTAAATAATGCTTTTTCCTTCCTTTTCCATTTTTACCACACAAACCATAGCTGCCTTATGCCATTGGGCATCACTAGCAGCGGCCAACCCATACAGCATGGCTTGAGGGTTGAGATGGACTTTGTTTCACTCCTTTTGCAATAAAAGATGTTTTCCCAATGCTTTTCCTTTGACTTCTTCCTTGGGTGCGAGTGCCATCCATACACTTGGCTGATGACCAGGTAGGGGATGAAGCTGGCACTGCTGAAGATCTGCAGGCAGGTTGGCAATTTAGAGCACTCACAGCTCTAAGATTCAGGAGATCCTCAGTGATACAGAGGTCCTCCTAGGAATTGGTGCTTTGGGTTTGAGTTTGGTTTACATCCTCCCAAAACCTGGTGCAGTGTATAGGGAGTGTGTCTGAGGCTTGCCATGGACATGTGAGTGGGGTCAGCTCCATGCTGGGTCTCAGCTACATAGCAGTGCTTGAAAATACATCTACAATTGTGCATTGCACAGGGAGGAGTGTTAGTGGCAAAATCCAAACCCCAGAGGAGCTACAGCAGAAGTCCAGTTTGCTGCGAACTGGATTTCAAGGAGGTGCCCAAGGGGGACAGCAGAGCAGTGGCTGCTGGCCCAGGATACCCAAGCTGTGAGCATGTCCACACCTGCCTGAAATCACAGCTTTGATTAAAAATAAGGAAAAAGACAACAGGAAGGCAGAGCCCAAGGCTGGGGTGACTGTGGTGAAAGGACAAACTGACAGCAGTGGAGTTCCTTTGGGTACATGGCCAAGCTGTCTGCCTCAGGAAAAAATGCAACCTTCTCAACTTGGGCAGGAGCTGCCAGCCTGCAGATCTCTTGTGCCAGGAGAGCCATAAAGACTGTTTGTGCTGACACAAAATCCCAGAGGCCAAGTAGAGAAAAACAGTTTTTTATTTGTTTTTTATTTTGCATGTAGGGCTGGGCGTTTTTTAGCTCAGCAGTCATCAAAGAGGGCAGTAAACACTCCCTGCCAAAAAACAGGCAGCCTGTGGTGGGCCGGGTTCTGGAGGAGAGTTTCATGTCACCAGCACCTCCAGCAAAGAGCTCTTCCACGGCACTGGGAGTGTAAAAAATCAACCATGACTGAAGCTTAGCAAGGCAAACAGGATATCCCTCCAACAGCACACAGCTCCTCCCCTGGTAGGATGGCATGGAGAGGTAGCTGTGGTGCCACCTGTTCACAGGATGCCTTCAGTGCCTGTTCCCTGTGGCTTCCTGTGGCTCACCTGGGAAGCAAGGAAAGGCACTGAGGGACAGATTGGAAAGGAATGGAGGAGACATTTTTGCAGCCATGGGACCAGGCATCCCATGTCATCCCCACAGTTTGCAGGAAGTCTCAATGTTGCCTGTTTTTTTCCCCATCAGCCTGTGGTGTAGTTGGGTGGCAGAGCTGTGTGTGCACACAGAGCACTTTGATCACAGGGGCAGAGGTACTGTATGAGGGTGATGGAGTCTTGGCTCTCTCTCAGCACTGTGGGCATGAGCTTTGCAGGAAACTTTTTGTTCAAGGCAGCAACAATAGCTAGGGGAATTTTGCTGGGCCACCTCCTGGGACCCCCACCCCAAGACCAGATGTGAGGGACCATCTGGGGCTTTGAAGCAGCAGCTGTAGAAACACTTTCTCAGCCCTGGGGGAGGTGCCTCGTTGGAAACTACTATCATGGCATGGGAGAAAGTCTGTGGTAAGGATTCAGTGGTGCCCTGCTAACACTGAGCACAACTGCCAGACTGAACATTGCTTTCCCTTTCACATCCCTGGATTAAGGCTGGGTTTCCCTCTCCACTGCCATACCAGTGATATCATTACTGCAACTCCAGCTGCTCTCAGGGGCATCTAAAAGATGTTCTGTCTCATCCCACTTGGCACTGCTGTTGTGTCCATGCAGGGTCCTCATGACACAATGGACCTACTGATGGATAACAGGTTTGAGCCAGTTTTGGGTCTGCTTCCTCTGGGCGCCAAACAAGCTCTTGACTGAGTACAATGTTCCCCAGACCCATTTTGTTTACTTTTTATATGGAGCAGCCCTGGGGCAAACGCCTAAAAAAAGGGAGCTTTCTCTTACCCTGGGGCCACACACACACCTTTACCTCCCAGGTGCCCACTGAAAGTGAGCTGGAGCCAGCAAAATGGTCTGTCTCTCACTTTGGGAAGGCACACTGCAGCCCAGAGACCCCTGGACTCTCTTAAACTGCTCAGTTGTGTCAACCTAAAATTTCTTTTTGCTTAAAAATAGCGGGGAACGTTGGACCAAGAGTGGAGGGTGTTTCACAGCCAGCCTTCAGGACCTGCTGAGACATCTTCATTCTGGAGAGGTGTGGCAGAAGGATAGTGAAGGATCCACCTGCCATGGACAGGGATCTCCATTAACACAGGATGGGAAAACATTCTCAGTGGGGAAATTGAGGCAGCTGGGTACTTCGGCTGATTTGTTAATTGCCTGAACTCTCTGAGGGAGCCAAGTTCTCTCCTAGCAACTGACAGATTGCACCCTTTGTCCTAAGCATGGTCCTAAAACCCACGTGGATCCTACTAAGTATAAACCCCTGCATGATGTCATATTAGGATTTAATCTCCACTACCATGAGATATCACCACATTTTACAGGTTTACCTGAATGCACACAATGAACATGGTTCTCAGTAATTTATAAAAGGGAGAAAACAATTGCCACAGCATTAGAAAGTGCTGTAGCTTTCTTGCTGCTCAGATACCTCAGGCCATGGGAAATGCAAACTCCTGACTCCTGCATCAGCTCCCATCTGATATAAAGGAGATGAAGTTTCACTTGATCATTGCACCACTCTGATTAAATTCACCATGAGCTGCAACATGATGAGAAAAAGGCAAATCGTGTGCCTTCCTCTTCAGGATAACCACAGATTGCTTTTTGTAAAAAAAAAAAAAAGTACTTTGCTGCAGCTGCCTCCTTCACTGAGCACATGAAATTTTCAGTGTCCCAGGGGATCATCTGTGAAACTGGGTAACAAAGAAGACCATGTAATTGCCTTTAGACACAAGAAATGTGCATGGCACTTCTTGGTGGGAAAAGATTATGAGCAGAGACTGTGTTTCTGTATGTTACACTTGTCACGATGCAATAACAAAGACACCCATCCAATACATTTTAATAAGTTATTGTAGAACACTTACTTGCCACACAGAACAGTGGTCTCAGTGTCTCCTTCAAATTTGATTCTGAAATATTGCTACATTAAAAATTATTAAAATTCTCAGGTCATTAAAGCCATTGATACAACTAATCACTGAGTCTACTGCACAGCTGAAGAGGAGCCTGTTAGGAAACCCAGAGGAAATAGGCAACTTCATCCAGATCAACGGGATAGTTGGTGAGCAGCACTGGGGTCTTCTCAAACAGCTCCCCCTTGTAGCTGCGCCACTTGCCCGCTGGCAAGTAGACATCCCGCTCCTGCTTGCCCATCTCCAGCACAGGAGCCACCATGAGGGTGTCCCCGATGAGGAACTGGGAGTCGATCCGGTGAGCGGCCTCGTCGCGGGGCGAGATCCACCAGATGGGACGGATGATGGGGTCGCCCGTGTCGGTGACCTCCCCCGCCAGCTCCAGCAGCAGCGGGGCTACCAGCGACTCGTGGAGCTCCGTGAACTTCTGCGCAATCTCCACCACCTCCTTGTCGTAGAGCCAGGGAGGGATGGAGAACTGCATGGAGGGCATGAAGGCCGACAGCTCCAGCCAGCGCACGTACAGCTCCCGGTCAGGGATCTCCACAGCTCCCTCTGTCCTGTTGGGGAGGAAATTTCCTCCAATCATATCTGGCAGCACAAATGGGTACCCCAGCATGCTGATGGTGAGGACAGTGGGGATGAGGGACTTGAGGCCAAGCTCGTAGCCCCAGACAGAGTCCCGGTCAATGATGCGGAAGAAGCAGGAGATGTTCTGTGACTGGTAGCCCACGCGCACCTCGGCCAGCTCGTAGAAGGGGATGGCCATCTCCGTGTAGCGCCGGGACCAGATGCTGGGGTCCGACAGTGGGCGGAAGGTGCTGAACTGCTTGGGCAGGTAGCTGGTCTCACCCGCATCAAACTTGAAGGATGAGATGCCATACTTGTGCCGGAGCTGGCGCAGGTGGCTCTGGAACCAGTCACGGGCTGCTGGGTTGGTGAAGTCCAGGGTGGCCCCGATGCCATTCCACCACTCCACCATGGCCGGCAGCTGCCCCGACGGCTCCTTGATGAACAGCTGACGCTCAATACCCACACCAAAATTGGGTGAATTTGCGTGTATAAAAGGATGAATCCACAGAGTGACCTTAAACCCATCTTCTCTCAGCTTTGCAAACATCTCTGTTACACTGGGGAACTTGACAGGGTCAAAGTCAAAGTCTCCATAGGCTTGGGTGTACATGTCATCAATCTCAATGTGGCTGCAGTTAAAATGGTACTTCTTAATGTCACTTGCAAAATTCAGAACTTTATCCTGGTTTATGTCTTTTTTGTAGAGGGCCCATGTGGACCATATGGGGTATCGGAAAGCGTTCTCAGCAGGGATCTTGGAGGGCTTGTTGAAGTACCTGCGCACCATGTACTTGTGGATGGAGGTGACGTCGGAGCCCACGCAGACGCGGTAGCTGAGCTCAGGGAAGGGCTGCTGGCCCGGTGGGGGCTTGTAGGGTGAGTCCTTGTAGCGGGCCTGGAAGAAGAGGGTGCGCTCGGTGGCGTTGAAGCCCAGGTGGAAGGGCACGGAGTCGTTGATCTTGATGGCTGCCGCCTTGGAGGAGAGCCAGTAGCGCTCGAGGATGCCACCAAAGCTGTCACGGAAGGAGTAGACGTCGCTGGTCACGTAGGGCACGGGCTCCTGGTAGCCGGCCAGGCGGATGGGCCAGTGCTGGGTGCTCATCTCTGAGCCCCCGTACCAGTGGGCGTCCTCCCAGAACATGGTGTGCTCCACGGCCGGGCCGGCTGCCAGCTCCTCCCAGCGCACGCGGTAGCACATCACCGTGTCCTTGGGCTTCACCGTCTGGATGAAGAAGTTGAGCGGCCCCTGGCTCGAGCGCGAGCAGCTCAGGATCTCGCCCTCCTTGGAGCACGACTCCAGGTCCAGGCTGCCCGAGCGGAAGGCCAGCCGGAACACCACCTCCCCGTGCTGGTTGCGGATGACGAAGCCGTCTGCCCGCAGGTCCATCAGCTCCGTCTTGAGCCGCTCCGCCTTCCTCAGGGACACGGTGTAGTAGCACCAGGCCACCACTGCAGCAATGAACAGGATGAGGCCCAGAAAGATGGCACCCAACATGGGCCTCAGCTCCTTGGAGGGCTTCTGCTTCACCCATGTGACATTTTCAGTCAGCTGCCTTTCTTTGGCATGCCACTTTGGAAAGTTTCCATGCTTTCCTGAGCGGTGGGTAATCTGAGTGTCCATTATTCCTTTGCAGCCTCAACACCTGGTTAGCAATTTTGCTGCTGAATTCTTTTACTCCAGCCGGTGAAGAGAAAATCCAATATGCTGCATGAAGCAGCATTCACAATGTCCTTTCCAAAGCTTGTCCACTCACACCTGCAATGGTTTTTCATAAAATAGAGAGTTATAAACACCAAAAAACCCAATTAAATCTTGCTGAGGGCTGCAGCTCCTCTGCTCTGTCTGCAGCCCAGCCTCCCTGCCTTCTGGCTCTGGCTCACTTTGCTCTGTAGTGGCAGCCTGCTCACTGGCAGCTGTGTTGAGCTTTTTTGGACATGCTTTTTGGAGCATGTCTGTGCCAGGATTCCTATGACCCTCTCTTGGCTGCAGCCTTGCTCTGTCCCACAGAGCAAGGATGAGGGGATGAAAGTCAGACTAGAGCCTGGAGGAGAATGGGGCCAGGGGAAGGGGCTGGTACCTGAGCACACAAGCTGGACATCACAGGCTGCTCTGTGTTTACATTAATTATGAGCCCTGCTGGATTTCCTCTCCTGCCCACAACCTCTCTGCATTAAACACAGGCAGAGAAATGCTGTACTGGTCTCCAGCCTCCACCTGCTGCTCCCACCACACTCCCAAGGATGCAGCTGACAAAAGACGTTTCATCTCCCTGCACTTTGCTCCTTCCCTGAACTGCATGGGGATGTGGGGGTGTGGGGATGTGTTTCTCTTTCCCTTCAACTGCCTGCCTTGCTACCTACTCCAAAGCCATCACCCCAGAAAAGCCCCTCTGGCCCTTACAGGGGAAAAAGAGAATATTCCACTACATCTCTGTCTCTGTTTTCTTATTATCATTCAGTTCTCCTAATTTATTACAACTCTGTAACTCCTGGGTTTATGCCAAGCAAGATGCTATACTGCAGTGGGGCTGGAAGATGTTTTGGTACAGAGTATGAGGATAGGTATATAAAATTGAAGTTATTGCAAGACCAGGACTACATCAAAACATTGTTTTGCTGAGAAGTGCACAGAAGCTGACGTGTTCCAGATGCATCAAGCATTACCAAGCCAGCTAATGCAGCACAGCTGAGCATCTACAGCCAAAGCATCTACACAGGCAGGAGAAACTGAGACTGGTGGCTCAAGGCAATGCATTCTGCGCAACCCTGGCCCCTTCCTGGGGTCTGTGTGATCTGACAGGATGAAAACTTGCAGGAGTAGCCTATATGAAGAGGGGGAAAAGGAGCCAGTTTGCTCATCGGAGCTGTGTCCAGCAATAAATGGCTGCCTGTATTTACCCGTGTCACCATGACATCAGTATCTAAATATACAGAGATGATAAGCCACCCAGGCAGCCATTAAAAATGCCAGAGGTCACCGCATTTTGGATCGATCACAACAGATCCCAAACCACCCAAATTAACTGCCTGGTTAGTTTTTGAAGTGTGTTCTAGGGATGAGCGAAACTTAGCTGAGAAAAAGGGCTGGAGTGGGTAAATGTGTTCTCAGAAAAGCCCTGGCCAGGGAAGGAGGGTAAGAAAAGGAATGTTATTGCTGCCCCAAAGAGATGGTGATCCAGGACATGGGTGGTTTTGGGGAGCAGGTTGGATTGCACGTGCTTGGGGCACTCTGCCAGCCCCAAAGTGTTCAGACCTGGCAGCCTCCCAGCGCTGGCCTGGCTCCTGAAATGGCTTTGAAGCCCTGCCCTTGGTGGTTTCCAGTGAAACCCTTGTGTTTTTGCAAAACAACATTTTCACTTTGAAGGTGTTATTATGTGCTGGGTCAGACCTTAGTTGCTGGCTTTGGAGCTTTCTTCCTCTTCTTCCTTCTTCCTTTCACCCTCACAGCCACCCTGGGGACAGGACTCTCCTGTAAGACAAGTTGTACCATTTTCCAGGTGAAAAAATAAGGAATGGAAAGGGAGGGTTTTCTTCTTTTTTCTTATTTATTTTTTCTTTTTTTTTCTTTCTTTTTTCTTCTTTATTCTTTTTCTTTTTGTTTTTTTTTTTATTCTTTTTTTTTTCCCTGGTAATATTAGGCAACATATTAAAAAACCCAAAATACATGGACATCATGAGTCAAAAATCTGTCCAAGAATAAAGGATGTGAGGAAAATTTCTAAGCTTTCTGTGCAGTGATTTCACTCCCAGAGAGTTGGTTTAAATCCCCTGATTTCCCCAGGAGCAGAAGATTAGGGGCAGGAAAATTGCAAAAACCAAGCAAGCCGGAGCTCCTGAGCCAAGCCATCCTGTCTCCAGTGTATTTTGGGTTTTCCTCACTCCTATGATGTCGTGGGATGCCACATTGATAGGCCAGCCCTGCTCCTCACAGAGAAGAGATGAGATGTGAGTGATCAGTGGGGAGAGCAGGCACTGGCACTTCTGGAGGCAGCAAAGGATGAAATTGGTATTCCTAGCATAGATTCCACCAGGGTGAATGAGTTTCTGAAGCTGCATTACATCTCTGGAAAGCATTAAACATCTGCTGGCCTAGCTGTCAGCCTGAGTGAAGCCTAGGGGTGGTGAGAAGAATTTTTGCTATGGGGTGCACAGAGGTGACCCAGAGCTCAGATCCAGCCCTATCCTTGCTCCATCCATGGGGTTATGGCATCACAGAGACCCTTACCTGTGAGTATTTAACTGGTCCTTGCAAAGCCTCTCTGCTCTGCGGGTGCTTTATTAACTCACCCAGAGTGCAAGTGCTCCCAAATCAGGGGAGGGCTGAATTCTCCAACAGTGCCCTGGAAGCCAGATGCCCCAAGGATACCAGCACTGTTGTGTTATATTTGGGCTGCTTTATCAGGTGCTAATCAGGTATGGATCTGGACCTATCTGCCCCCAGGCTGAAAGAAGCCAGGATTCCTCACCCCAAGGAACTTACCAGAGCTTAGCATGCACAGATTAAACATTGACATATCCAGCACTGTGATAAGCAGAAAATGAGACAGGACTTTAGACCTTCTTATAGCTAAACAGGGGCTTCAAGGGTTTCAAGTGACAAAACACATATCAGCCAGCTCGAAGGGCAGCTACACACTTAAACCCCTTAGTGCACCTACCCTGAGAGTCTCCTTCCCCCACACCAAATTTATCCCCAGAACCTTCCCCTGTCTCTTGGCACCTGTGTCACAAGTTTTTCAGGCCTCCATTCAGGTTCCAGCTATGTGATTCCTGAATCCTCAGATTTTCAGCATTCTAAGACTCTGAGGCTGCCTTGGTGCTAACAGCACCAAGGTCAGGGTTTTGATTCCTGTATGGGCCATTCCCTTAAGAACTGGACTAAAGGATGATGCCCATGGGTCCCCTCCAACTCAGAATATACTGTGATTCTGCATATGTTTACCTTCCTGGTGGTTCAGGAAGAGCATCACTCTTTAAAGAACCCATCAGGAAACAATTTGTCCTTTAAACAGAAGGACATTTTCCTATATTTAAGTTTATTTTACAGGTTAGCAAACACTTAGTCACTATCAGGTGCTTTTAAGGAGAGTATACAGGTCCTAGCAGAAAGAACCATAGGTAGCTAAACATAATAAGCCATAAACAAACTACTGCCCTGTCAAATGCTGCAAGAATTGATTAATCATTTACCAAGATCTTTTAGACTGTTTAAAATGGACCTTTTTAGCAGAAGTCATGCGAAGTAGAAAGCAGTTCCCATTAACTCTCATTTCCCGCAGCAGCTTGACAAATATGGGTGGTGTATGGGGGATTTATTGCCACAGAGGACCTGGGGGAGGTTTGCTCACCATTTTTTTCTGTGCATATAGATGATGTGAGAAAAGAGGTATCTGATGTGTATCCAGCTCAAGGTTATCACATGAGCTGCCACAGATTAGCTACAAGCCCAACAAGGCTTGACACAGGGTGGAAGTGGCTGGGTGGTGGCTGCAGAGGGTGAAGTGACATTGCTCTGCAGTCCATGTGGTGCAGGTAGGGACAACAACATCTCTGCCAGCAGCACACAGCACTTACAGAACACCTGGAGCAGCACAAGGAGGTGGAGAGAAAGGACACAGTTGGAGTCTGTCCCTCAGAGTGGTGCAGGATCCTGCTCCACCTGGAAATACACTCACTTGTGTCCTGAAGCAGGGAGGACACCAGCCCCAGTGCTGGGTGCACCCTTCACCCCACGCCAGGGCTTTTAGAAATTCCTGATAGCTGCAGTGAGGGGGCAAGGATGACTGGCCTCACTGCTTCAACCCTTGGCCCCTGGGGGTCTCACACAGCTCCTCGGGCTGAAGCAGCAGTTTGGTTCATATTAACCCCATGCCAGCTGCAGTCAGACCAGCTGAGAGGCCTGTATCCTGCACAAGGAGAGACCTTCACCAGCTCACACCACCAGACAACTCTGAGCAGGCTTATTTCTGGAAGCCATCCTGATTTGGGAGGCTCTTCCCCACTCCCCACGGTTCCTGATGCCTGGAGCATTTGTGGCTCACCTCAGTACAAATGCAGACCTCGGTCTGGCTGCACAGACATTGCTGGTTTCTGCCTGTACAGAGTTCTGCTGCAAAGCTGATTACCCTGTGCAAGCCTGACGGTGTCATAAGCCCCCTGAAGCCTTGAAAATCCAGCTCAGGTCTAGAGCAGGAATATTACCCCAGATTTTTCATAATCCAGAGGATTCCAGTCCCCCAGTACTGGGGAAAAAAAGTAGAGTTTACTGCAGAGGTCTTTCATTCCTAATTGCTGTGGTAGCAGGAACTGGAAGACCCACTCCTGTCCTCTTCTTCCAACAGACTCCTCCTCCAAAGTCAGCAGAAAAAAGCCTTGCAAAATCAACTTTTTTCCCTGTTTCAGAGCTCTCTCTGACTCCTCAAGATGCACAGTGTCCATGCGCTGCTCCAAGCTGCCAGTAGTGGCCACAGCATCCCACTGCAATCTGGGAGCCGCTCTGCTCATATCCTTGGGAAGGAGCTCCACCTGCCGAGCTGGTGGCTCAGGCTGAAACCCAGGGACCATTGCCAGACTTGTCCCAGGGCTGTGGGGTGACTGGCACCGAGCTCATCAGACCCTATT